ACAGAAACAGGCAAGCAGAGACAGCTCGGAGGACCGCATGCTGAGGCAGCTAGCGGTCTTCTGAGAGGCTTCCTGGCCGCTAGGGTGTCGAGTTTACACCGCGTGTACACCGCGCGTTCTCTGGCGGCCGTGTGCGGAGTGACCAGTGTATGTACACCTGAGACTGCGCACGTAGTCTGCAGCCGTTCGATCCCAAAGTTTTTGTTCAGAGAAAACAGGGGCCAAAGGGGAAAGAAGGGAACCCCTTAACTCAACATGACTCAAAAGCTTCTACAGGAGACGGACCGGGCCGATGCGTAGCAGCGTTTGGTGTTCCCTGCGCGCCACGTGGCCACAGTAGCAACGGAAACACCAAACTTTACTTTAGCGGTCACAAATAAAAGCGAGAAAATGCCTTAAGAGTTTGTAGCCTGCTGCTGCTGCTGCAGCACAAGCTTCAACAGGACAAGTTCTTTCCTGCACGGGTGCCTGCTGGGGCAACGGATTCTACACACTCAGCTCCAATTAGGACTGAGGGCACCAAAGAGCATCAGGCGGTGTAGACCCCCTACAGGTTGGCTGAGGGGGATCTACGGTCCATGGGCACGAAGGGTCGAGGCCTGGGGCCCTTGTAGATAGACGTGGGCCGAATGAGTTTGTTGACAGCGCGCTGCTCCAGCACGTGTGCCGCCCAGCCAGCGGTCCTCGCAATGGCAAATAGAGGTGTGAAGAACCGAATGGGCACCCCGCACCTACAGCAACAGCAGCAGAAGCAGAAGCAGCAAAGGATCAGCTGCCAGAAGAAGGGCTGTCTGGGCCTGCTATAGACGCTGCGGAGCAACGGGAGCTGCAGCTGAAGCAGCAGCAAGAACAGCAGCAGCAACAGCAGCATTCGTTCGCCTGACTGCTTGTATGCAATAGCTGCTGAGAAGTCGACGTTTGGATGCATGTTTTTCCTCTTGAGCATGTGCTCCTCGATGAAAGCCCCAATCCGCACCAACTCCGGGTCGGAGTGGGGCAGGCGGGCGCCTGCCAGGGCCTCAGCCAGCTGGCGCATCAAGGGGGCCCTAGGGTCTCCGTCTTTGTACATTCGGTGTCCAAAGCCCATAACCAACTCCCGACGAGCAAAAGCTTCCTCCAGCTGCAGAAAAACACTGTTAACACGCAGAGAGCTGTGACCAGCCACAGCGCATATCGCCTACAGGGGCGCAGCAGCAACAGCAGCAGCAGCAGCAGTAACAGCAACAAAGGGCAAACGGGAGCTCATAAGCTGCAGCAGTGCAGCAGTGGTCTTTGTACCCGTTGCTTCGCCTTTTCAATGGAGGTCAAGGGGAGCAGCATCTCCAGAGCTGCTTGGTTGGCGCCCCCGTGCAGAGGTCCCTTCAGTGTCCCTATTCCCGAGCAAATGCAGCTGTACATGTCGCTGCGAGTCCCAGCAGTCACGCGGCACGCGAAGGTCGACGCTGCAGCAGCAGCAGCAGCAAAGGCAGCAAGAAACAATAAATGTCAGAGGCACCAAAACAAGCAGTAGAAGGAGCCTCGCCTAAAAACCACTGCTCTACGCACAATAACGCCAG